GGGAAAATAAACCATTTGAATAAAATAGATGTTTAAAAACATTTATACTGTACATAATATATATTCATCAATTCATCACAAAAAATATATTTTTCATACACAAGTAGAGAGATGATCTATATCAGCTTGCTGAAATAAGAAAAATATTTGAATTATTAATGGTGAAACAGAGAGAATTGATGGAGATTGGATAATGAAGAAAACAAGAAAAACATTATTGTGTGGTAATGTGTTACATTACAAAATTTCTGGAGATAAATGTAAATGTAAATGTATTATTATTATTATTATTATTATTATTATTATTGTGGTAATTGAATGTAACAATATGATCGCTCTGTGATCCCATGCCTATTTTAAAAATGACAGGCTCTTAAAGTAAACGGTGGATCGTGTCGATGAAGTAAACGTCTGAAGCAATAAAAGTCAAATGGATGAAGTGAGTCCATGTATCTCCTGTACTGAAGCAGCCTCCAGGGTGAGCTGAAGCTGAGATCTCTGCTGTCGGTCATTCACAACTAATAGACTGTGTTAACCAAACAGAAAACAACTGTCTCGGCTGAAAGGAGAGCAGACAGCCACATTCCCCACACACCAGTGCCCTGGCAGAAACATCACATTTTAATGTCATAAACGGTGTCAGACACTGTTTTCAAGGCCGAGACACAATAAGGAAAAACCCTGCGGGCCTCCTCTTCTCTTCTCCTTACTTGACTCCCACCCCTTTTTCATTTACCCCCCCTTTTTTTGTCTCAGCCTGTTTCTGCCTGCGTGTCTCGTCCTCTCATCTCGCTGTTGTTCTGTCACCATTTGCTCCTTTGTGTGCCTCGTCTCCACACTGATGTCAAATTTACAGGAGCTTCTGCCACTGTCAAAGTACCTACTGAGCACAAAAGCACGAGTCAGAGATGAAGGAAGGCGTCCTTCAGGAGAGAGGCAAAGATCATATAAAAGCCCGACAGAAGAAGACAGAGGTAACATGCCTCTGAGTGTGATTTGTGAAATGGCTTCTCTCCCAGCAGTGATTAGGCTCTGAAGGTGAGCACTTCAACACTCACAGACGCGCTCTCTCCTCTCTCTCAGCCACTCTCCTACTCTTGCAAGCTAGAGAAATTCCCACTCTGTCAACACATACTCAGAAAGATCTTCGAGAATAACCAAGTTCTTTGCACCGCTGGCTTCTTTTTCTCTACTGTGACAACACTAAACAGCAACAGCAGCAGCAGTCTCACAACATTATGTGACAAACAGCAAAGTATTGTCACAGGGATCCACTGACTGCCTGCTTTAGTGAACACACACATCTCCTCACACTCTGACAGCAGGCAAACAATACCACATGCACTGTCAACCATCTCTTTTTTTCCCTCCAAAATCCCACCTAAAATGTTGAAAGACCACCGCTGGTGTGCTTGTTATCCCCAGGTGAGGTCATGCTGTCAGGGCTTACCTCTGCCTTTTGTCTTGCAGTTGTTTTAATGCTCGACTCCCTTCCCTCCCCTTGTCTTTTCTGCACGCACTTTCTCACATACAGTGTTAAACAACCTCGTCTCAGCGCTCACCTTTGTCGTCCTCTTCCTTCTGCACCCACGCTCGAAAAAGTCCGCCTGGGTCAACCACACAGAGGAAAACAGTGGAGAAGGACAGAGAGTGAGAGAGAAGCAAATGCAGTTATGAGACACAAATGGAAAGAGGGGTGGGGGGGTTGGGGGGGGATCTAGCAGTGTGCAAATTGGATGATGAGAAGGAAGGAGGGAAGGTAGGAAGGAAGGTAAAGGAGGACAAGAGGAGGGAGGGCAGCTCTCAGCTGCACTGGTATGAATATGACGCAGAGGCAGCAGCCACAGCCACTTCTCCTCTGTTCTCCTCTACTCCCGTCATGCCCACTGAGAAAGGAGAGCGGCGAAGGGGAAGAGAGGGCACTGTATCTATGGCAACGGCAGAGCAGCGGTAGGTAGCAGTTAGGGAGTGTGTCAGGGCAGAGTAGTGTTCCTCGTCTCTCAGTTGCTTCTCCAAATAGCAGGAGCTGTTAGGTAAAATGAGTGTTTTATTCCAGATATGACAGGTAACAAGAGGGAGAAAAAACTGGGCCTGTTGTGTCTCATGGGAAACAACTGTAGATGTATAATAGAAGAAGAGCTGCAGGACTCCACAGGCAGGTAATGACGATGTCACTAAAAAAGCAAATAAATATGGTATTGGGTGTTTTTTCAAGGCAATACAAACAGACTCAACAATGATGTGCATCACTACATCAGGACAAGACGATTAAAATAAAATAAAATAAATAGGTCCCAAATGATTTTCTGTAATTCCTTTCTGTTCATTTTTCTTTCTTCACTTTTTTCAATGTTTTTTTAAGAAGAACATTTCTTCCTGTAATAAGTGCTAAAATGTAAAATTATTTGTGGCCCCTGGTGTAATTATATTTGGCCTGTGAGATCATATCAAATGTGTAGTAGAGCTGATCCGCCATTATATAGCCACTATATACTGGCAGGATTTGTAGTATAAGCGATGTATGGACGATATTATAGCACATACATTTTTGGTTGTTCTTTTGTTGGCCTGTAAAAAAAGATTTACATTAAAAAGACTAGAGATAGAGAGAGGTATACCACTGATGTGTGTCTTATTTCAAATTGAATTTCTCATGTGTTTATAATATTAAGATTTGGTTGATCCAGATATAATGTTTATGCAAAACTAAAGTTTGTTTCTATATGGAAAAACATTCCAGTCGTTTTGGCCCGTGACTTCGTCCCAGTTTTTAATTTTGGCCGACTCTGAAATTGAGTGTACACCATTAAACTACTTAGTTCCTGCACATGAACATCATGAACTCATGTCCATTTCATCATCCTTCACCTCTTTTACCATTTACATCTGCTATATTCCACCTGCCTCACACCCCTTCTCATATTTGCCTTCTGTCTTGTTTGTTACTAAGTAAATACACGATTTCCACAACATCCTTTAGCTTAGTTCGTTTTTCTATGCAGTAACGCATCACCGTGTGCCTTTTCTTTTGACAATGATGTCAACTTTAAATGGTCTGCATTATTCTATTACACCAGTCCAAACCTGCAGTTTAAAAATGAAATAAAGCTTAACGTGGAGAGAAGCAGTCCTTCACTGCCCACTAAAATTGTTGGCCAAGACCAGCACATTGTTAACCTTATTTAAAAATAAAAGACAAAATAGATGTTAAAAAAAAGTATGCGCCTTCATTGAAATAGCGAGTGATCTTAAATCGGAGTTTCAAACAAAACAACAAAGTTATTACTTGCAAAATTTTTTAGGATCGCTTTTAGGATTCCACCCAACTGATACTCGCTAAACTAATGGACGTTACTGCCACCTATTGGGTAAATTTTCTACTGGCAGCTGAGAATTGCTCTGGATTCTTGCATAACAGAGAGAATGAACAAAGAGTTTACTTTCAGGAAATTCTTGTTCTTCGCCGCAACCGGTCTTTCGGAAACAAAAATGTCTTTCGTCACATTTTAATTTCGTCCAAAATTAATTTTGAAGAGCAATTGAAACTTGTGAATGGGGCACCTTGCTCTTAATGTGTATAATCTTGTGTTTGTGTTTTGTTTTTGTTTTTCCGTTAGGTTTTCTTACTGTAAATACCTTTGCTTTAAAAACGTCTTTGATTCCTAAAGAAAACAGTGTAAAAAAATAAATCCAAGGCTTGCCACTGGGTGGCAGTGTCGTCGACTCCACGCGTTCGACCACAAACTACAAAAGTACGTCAACACGTTACCCTTTGACCCTCTACCCAACGTCACTATGCGTCATTTTGCCGGGAATGTGGCTCCACGTTTCCGCTGCCGAGCGGCGTGCTTTATCAGTGACTGTTCATTCTGAAAGCAGGTTGGAGCAGGGAGTACTCCCGGCAAGATGGCGGCGCGGTGGGGAGCAGGCGAGGAGACTACAACCGCGTGTAATGTGGAATTTTTCCCCATGGATGGATTAAATGAGGTGAGGGATATGTTCCGTGTTTTATTTTAAATCCCACCGACCCACTGTTAGGAACCATATTGGTGTTGCGATGGTTTTCGGAGGCCGAGACGGGTCTCGTTGTGTGTACACTGCAGGCAGGAAAGTGACACGTGGATGCAACGTAGTAGAACTTAAACACCAAAGTTATCATGCTTTTACTGTTAAATACGTATCACTATAGTAGTATTTGTTTGTCAACGCTATATTCATATATATTTTCAAACGTTCGTATTTTTGGAGCTGTTAATCGGTGTTGACTGAGGCAGGTTAACCGGCGAATGGCTGACGTTGTTTTTTCTCTTCTCTCTTCCTCTTATGATTGTAGTTAAAGATTGAAACAAAGCAAGTGACACTAGTGCGTTTTCATTGAATTCCAGCAAATGAAATAATATCCGATAAAAGTGTCGAGCAGCAAATCTGTATTAGAAAGAAAATGCGTGCAAGTACATGGTGTACTATTCTTTTTACTGAATCGTAAAAACGTGGTGGACCCTTCTGTAAAACGCCATTGTTCTTCATTAGAGTGTAGATTTTGCACATTTATTTTATTTTACAGTGGTTTAGTGGTTTGACTGAAGTCAAATATACCATTGTTATTGTTCTTAGGCTTCGTGCCATCGCAATGCAATCTACAAAGTATGTCACGTTGGCTTTGGGGATGCACACACGCACATTTTAAAACTTTTCGAAGTTTACAAATGTTGTGCACAGCCTCGTCCCTTCTTGGAATCACACTGAATCAAACCAACTTTTCCATTCAAACCCTGTTTTCTCCACGTGTGGTGAATCACATGTTGGAAGGTTTGACGCATGCGCAACAAAAACGTACTGTAGCGAACTTACATCGGAGTTCATTTGAGTCCAACATTATTAAATCCCGGATGTTTTAATCCATGTATATGTGCGTCTAAAGTCGGACAAAAAGTGTATGAAACAGGCGTTTAGATGAGGCCAGTGGTGCTAATGTTTGTTGTAGTGCAACACGTGGGTAGGGTGGCTTCCTGTGGTCGGGGTGAGGCCAGGACCAAACATGTCTGCGTAGAGGAACAACACGTGTGTAACAGTTGAATAGGTAAACCTGCTGCTCTAAACACTAAACAAAATGTTTAATATAATATAATAATATAATGAATTAATAATGATTTTTATGAAACAGTCAGTACCAAAGTATTTGGTTACTGAAACAATTGTCAGTTAAATTAATGTTAACAATTTAAAACTATTACTATTTATCAATATAGTGTTCTATCTATATCTTTGTTATAAATAATATGGGTTGATATAAAAGTAAAATGTTCAATTTAAATAACTAAACATATGGATTTATAATAAATGACAATCTTTTGAGGAGGTTGAAAAATTAATGCTGTTCTAATTGAGTCGATTGTTTGGAAAAGGTTCATATGTAAACCTGATACCACTAGGACTTATTCTGTCCGTCACAGGAACAAAGAAAAGGATTTGGATGTAGTAATTGTTTAAATGTATAAAGTGCACCTTGTAGTATGACTAAGCAGTCAATCACAAACACCTGGCACTGGTAATGATGGCTGAACAGCTAAATACAAAGCTTTGCTTTACTTGATGAGCTTTGATTTGTGTTTATTTTACATAAAGCTGTTGACTTGCAGCTAAATCTTAAAATGTTAACAGTTTAAACTAATCTATCGGTTTGCCTAACATTTTTTGTTGTCCTTTACAGACTGCCAGGCTGAGCTCTGGAGAAACTCTGGAAGTCCTTCAGAGCTGCTTAGACTCCTCTATCCTCTCCTTCTTTGAAGACACACCAACAATAGAGGTAAGTTATATTGCTCGTTTGAGGTCAAGTGTCACAGTAGCCTTGCCAAAAACCTACAAAGTCCATATGCTTGGATCTTATTCATGTGTTTCTGATTAGACTAAAGGACTGGATGATGAGAGCGAAGCTAATCTGCTAACAGCACTGACAGAGATCCTCGATAATGTGGATGATGAGAACCTGTCCCCATTCGACACACTACCTGACTCAGACCTACTGTCGGGTCAAAAGGGCAAGGAACATTCTCCGGTTAGTGTCCAGCTGTCACACATAACTTTCCCGAGTGTCTCACTCATTCATGCTGTTGACTTTGTTGCCACTACACCTACAGGATAAAGGGAGAGTGCAAAGTAAAAGTACACCCAATGTCAGAAATGACTTTGATGTTTTGATCCTTTCACTTTTCAGCTGAGAAGATTGCTGTGTCTGTCACGCAGCCCTCCAGAGAAGGATTTGCTCCACAGACCTGTATCTATTGGAAAGGTATTGGGGCATATTCAAAGCAAATGTTAATGAACCAGAGAAATGTGGAACAATTTCAGAACTTGATTTGAATTTGTTTGTTGCACCCAGAGCCTCCCACGGATACAGTCCAATGCTCTCCAGAGGAGTGACGGGGAGGAGGAGGATGATGGTTCCCTCACTCTGAGCCCAACTGCTTATGATTCATCGTGTGATAATGACCTGTTGGACTGGATTAACCCCTCCCTTCCACTTCCTGTTACGTTTGAGCAGGAAGGTGGAGATGGTGTTTCCATCAGCCTGGGTGACTTGGTCAGGCAAATGCACCCCTACTGTATGACCATTTGTTTGGACAACAACGAGGAACAGATGTTGCCTGAGGGGGGCATTTTGCTTGAGGTTGTGGACCAGGGAGAGAATGGTGAGCCTATATTGGCCATCCCAAACATGGATCTCCCCTTGTCACTGCCCTGTGAGGACCAGTTGCCAGAATTTAAGGGTAAAATTGCAGCTGAAGCAGAAGAAACTTCTGACACATTGGAGCAAATAATTGTTGTTGATGATGTAAAGGACGTTTGTCCAGCAAAGCCATCTTCAGATGTTAATGACAAAAAGATTATGGAATCACCAAAGGAAAATGATAAAAAAGGTTCTTTGAGAAAAAAGTCAAAGAAAAGTAAAAACCAATGTCAATCTGGATCTATTGAGGGAAGAGTTCTTAGAAGTGGTACAATAACAAAGACGGGACCTCGGGTTCCCAGAAACCATGATAAAAGGTCATTGAAACGAGAGAATCTTAAAGTCCCAACAACTTCTCTAACGTATCCATCTTCTACCTCAACAAAACCAGACAAAGTAGATCCATGCATGATTGATGCATCAGCTGAGATGAATGTACAAATTGCTACATCTGTGTCAAACCAAGAGCTGGCTGTTACTCAGATGAAAACAAGCTCACATGTTAGTCATACTAGTTGTCCAGTTGCAGCAGAGAGTACAAAACAGGGAAGTGAGGCCCTAAAAGAGCCTGAGTTAGCTCCAGAGAAGCCAATCGAATCATCAGCTGCTCACCCTGTCATTAAGGCCACATCATCCACAGAGACTCTTAAAGCTGATCTTAGTCCCACAACAAGCCAGTGTACCCCACCTTTGTGTGAGGTACTTCCTCCAACAGCAACAACAGTCCCAGAGCCAAAACCTAAATCGCTCAGCTTAGCAGAGTACCGTCAGCTAAGACAACAGAAAAAGCCACAGCCTGTGGTAACTAGACAGATCAACAGCACCAAGTGGCCCAGTCTTCCAGAGCTTCCTAAGGAGCTTCCACTGATCCCCTGTTTGCCTGACCCCAGCTTCAAAGATCCTAGACGACCCAACAACCAGACAGCCAAGAAAGTGGAGGTGGAGGAAGTCAGACCTGCCTGGCATCCAAGGGGACCAGCAGCACCACCCACACCTGAGGCACTGCTGGTGCCACCAGCCTACATGACTGTCTCATCCAGCAAAGTTTCGACTGCTACCACTGTTCCCAGACCCCCAAACACACCTCAATCTTCAACACCGTGTCCACCTAAAAAGATTCCTGATTCTGCAGAGCATGCGTCTGCACACCGAGCACCTGAAGAAGTCCCTGAGGTGACTGAGAGTGCTCGGTCTTCTGATTCAAATCAGTACATTTCATCAGAACATGGTGAAAGCTGTCAGGCACTTTCAGTAGAAAATGATGGAGTCAGTGAAATGTCTCAGCCTGTCTCTCATAAGTTTGAGACACTTCCAAAAGTTTTACCTCAAACCACTACAGAGTCTTGCAATCACATCACTGCTGCTTCAGCCACACCAACTTTACCCCAAGAAACCACTGAAAGCCACAATGTGGCTGCTGCCTCCATCACCACATTGAACCACCTGGGGACAGTTGATGTCTCTTCCGAACACATGGACAACAATGCCCAACTTTTGTCTTCAACTGCTCAACATTCAGACTGTTTTGCGGTAGAATCTGGTTTACTTGAATCAAATGTAAAACCCACCTCAAAGGCGACACACCAGAAAGTAAAGGACTCGACACAGCAGCTGATTGAGTCATTCACCAGTGAGATCGGTGAGCATAACAAAGACTGCAGTCCATTTACTATGATGTAGAAAATTATCAGTTGCAAATATGAAGAAAGCAATATTTTAAAGGTGAATATAATGGTCTCTTTAGGAATAGAAGCTGCTGATCTGACGAGCTTGTTGGAGCAATTTGAGGAAACTCAAGGTAATAATGCCTTTTTTTAACACGGTGCAATCAAATGTTTTTGACCGTCACTTGTCCTTCCTAGAGTTCAGTTTTCCAGTGCAGTAGCTTAGTGGGTCAGCCTGGTTACTACTTGTCTAAATGTAGTCCGTATCCGTTTTCTTCGTCATGTCAGGAAATGTGGTATGATATTACAGCACTATCTTTAGTTGGCAATAATGATCCAGTGGAATAGTGGAGGAAAGGTGGCTTTAATGATTTTTTTTTTTTTTTAAACATACTGAAGACTTGCATCAATACGAAGCTGTTATTTCTTTTTTTAAACACCAACATTGTTTTGGTGCTGTGTGAAATGCCTCGTACACTAGTGTGCTCAGTTACCATCTACAGTATTTAAATCTCGCTGTGACTCTTTGGGGATGGGGGAGACATTGAGTCCCAACTGTATTTCAGCATTTCATCTTTGATTACAATCTATACACTATTTGACATTCTTTGCTAAGATTTGTTATTTTTCAGTCACTTCTGTCGGATGAATGCACAGGGCTTTAAGATTTGTTGTTTACCCATCATCCCCTGTTACTCCCAGTGCTGGTACACTTATCTGCCTTTCCTCTTTCACTTTTCTCTTCAGCCAAAGAGGTGCAGTGTGTGCCGGAGGTCTCTGGTAGAGCAGCAGCTGTAGGAAACTCGAGGTGAGTTACCCTACAGCCCTCAAGCTGCTCTGTTAGTGGTGGTGACAATACCGTGGCTAAGTGTGTCTTGGTGACATTGACGCACCATTTTACCAAGACCTGCCGAAAAAAACCCTCTGTAGCACTGACCACAATGGTGTTTTTTTTTTGTTTTTGTTTGTTTTTTTTTTTTGTTTTTGTTTGTTTTTTTTTTTGTTTTTGTTTGTTTTTTTTTTTGTTTTTGTTTGTTTTTTTTTTTTTGTTTTTGTTTTGTTTTTTTTTTGTTCTAAGTTATTAGTTTGTCCTAATTTAATTGAATGTTCGAAGATGATGAAATGCTAATCATCTTTTGCATTGTATGCAGTTTGGACTTGGTTCCAGAGAATGCAGTTGTGGAGCGTGTTAGAGCTACTGACGTCTCATGTACTGCAGGTAAATGAGAACATTAGCATTGACTAAACATTGCAACTTAAGTACTGCTTTACTGTTTACAGCTTTTAAATAATACATTTCTGACATTTGCAAAGATGGTAATTGGGCTGTAATTGGAATGTTTGTTCCCTCAGCGCTCACTCCCCCAGCTACTCCACCCCACCAGATGTGGAAACCTCTGGCCCCTGTAGCCCTGCTGGGGAAGAGCAAAGCAGTGGACGCATCCAAGTTGAGCCCCTCCAAAGTTATCCAAATAGAAGCTCGGCCCCTCCCCTCATTCAAGTATCGCAGCAAACCTACTCCTGTCAGTATTACTGTGGACCCCAGCGTGGCATGTAAGGATCATGACTATTGCCTCCCAAATAAAGGAACTTCTGCTGAAGAGCCAGGCAGACGCTGGAATGTGAAACAACAAACTTTCATCACAATTAAACCTATCAAACAACCCACTACAAGCCCTGTCCAGTCAAACCCACCGAACATTGCTGTTAAAGCCAAAACACAAGATTTCCCAGTTGCAGATAACTTGGACCACAGCTCAGTTCTGGAAACGCCTGACGCTTCTCCTGCTCGAAGGGACACAGAGTCCACTTCTAAAGAAGAAAGCACCAAGAGAGAGTCCTTTAAAAAAGTTTACCATAGTCACACTGCCTCTCGCACATCCAGCCCAGAAATGAAACCCAACGGGAGATCTACAGGCCGGTCTAGAAAAAGAAGTTGCCGACATTCTCGCAGCCCTGGATCGAGCAGTTCAGATTCGGACTCTCATTCCTCTAGATCTCGATCTAGGTCCTGCGCTCCGTCTAAGAAAAGGTGTGGCCTTCTGTCATAACTTCATGGACCTGACTACAGTCCCCCCGCACTCCCCTTCTCACTTGTATTCTTTTCTTTTGCAGATATCGTCGCCGTCACTCTCAGAGCAGTTCCAGTTCTTCATCTCGTTCTTCATCTCGTTCGTCATCCCGATCGTCTTCCCCTGTATCTTGCTCCCCATCCAGGCGGAGGAGGTATTCATATTCCTCTTCACGATCTGGCTCGTGGAGTCGCTCCAGGTCACGGTCACCTCGGAGACTGACACAGTGGAGGACAAGCAGAGTATGGAACAGGTACAATTCATCTGGATGTTCGAAATATTTTTCTTTCACTTGTGTATTTAATAATAACTAATGAAAAATGTCTTGGTCAGTCCACCACAAAGATCAAGCTACAGTTTTGATGCAAAGATGACCGTGGATCAGGTCAAGAGATGCAAGGAAAAAGCAATTGTAAGTCTCATCACTCCGTGGACGTGTGTCTGATTATGTTCAAACCTAATCCTCCTAATCAATTCCTGCCTACTTTAAGGAGGAGCGCCGGGTTGTTTATGTGGGACGCATCCGGGGTACGATGACCCAGAAGGAACTCAGGGAACGCTTCTCTTTATATGGAGAAATAGAGGAATGTACCCTGCACTTTAGAGACCAAGGGTAAGAACATTATCTTTATCATGCTGCAAGGTTACATGATTGCACTGTCTTTGAACCTTGTTGGTCTCATCCATGACCTCCTAGGCCAAGCTACAGTGCTAAAGCAAAACACGGCTTGTTCATAACTGGGGTTTCCTGGCAACACTCCCAGGTTGCTCTTTTAAAAACAGGTCACAACTGAACTGTTGAGGGTTTATGGTGACAGTCACAAGATGCATATAGGCTAACATTCTCTTTTTTTTCCCCTCCCCATTCTCACAGGGACAACTACGGCTTTATAACCTATTATGACACCAAGGATGCGTTCACAGCCATTGAAAATGGTAGCAAGCTACGCAAGCCGAACGAGCTCCCATTTGATCTTTGTTTTGGTGGAAGGAGACAGTTCTGCAAGTCCAACTATGCTGACTTAGGTAGGCATGGCTTTAAATTGACCATTAAAACAAAAGGTCTCTAGTTCCTGCCAAACAGGATATAAATCTATTCCGCCAGTATTGATGTGGTTTGTAGAAGATTGAGGATAACTGGCTGCACTTCATCCTGTTGGAGAAGATTTACCACAAGCTAAAAGCAACTGAAAGCTAGTGTACTTTGAGAAGTGAAGTGCTGACATTAGTTTTTAAAACTTGACAGAAACAATCTGTGTGTTCTTTCATCATAATATCCTGCAATATCTCATGTATACTTTGCTATCATTAGAAATACTTATCTATCACATCCAAACTGGAAACAAAGTGCTTAAACCTTTACATAACACACATCTTGTTTTTAATTAATTTTGCCCATTGTATAAGAGACTGGTAAACATTATTTTGATTTTGAGCTGCAGGCCAATGATCATACTTTATATGTATGGGATGTTGACATTTTATATTTCTTTTCAGATTCGAGTAGAGAGTACGAACCGTTGCCTACAAAGGGCAAGTTTCATGCACTAGACTTCGACACTTTACTGAAGCAGGCCCAGCAGAGTCAGAAGAGGTAACGGAAGGCCTGCAGCAGGAAGCAGCTGACACTTACCTCAGAGCCAAGAAGGCTCCTCACCTGCAACACTGTCTTTACATTTGAGTTGTTGCCTTGTGTTTTGTTTTTGGTTTTTTTTTTTTTTTTTTTTGGTTTGTTTCTGCAAGCTAACACCTTCTATTGAAGTGAAGATTTGTAATGAAAGCAGTAAAAGACATCGCAAAAAAATTGCATAAGTAAAATGAAATAATTTTTTTAAAGTTTATTTAAATGTTAAATCAAGTTTAAATTGTTTTGATGGGAAAACATAGATTTTAAAATGGGGAAAATACATGGAATGGAGATCCCTAATCCACAAAAAAAGGATGTACTACATTGAAATGTACTACGAACCTGAATAAAAAAAAATTCAAAGTCAGATGAGTGATGTTTTCATTTCCTCATTTTGTTGAATCATTGATGGTTGCATTTTCATTGACTTGATATACATTTGGCAGGTGGTTTATTCAGGTCTCCATCCTTTGTTAATAGCAATTGAAAATTATTTAAACATTCCTGAAAGGTGTGATAATCAAATAAAATTATAAGTAATATAATTTGAAGGACCAATGTCTAGTGTTTTGTGCTAATGCAACTTCCTGTATATGGTATCGCACACAAGTTTTCCATAAATAACGCTAATGGATCAAATTATATAGTTTTGGATATTCGGTAATGCTAATCAAGAAAAAAAACCACTATGAACAATATGTAGTTAGAATTCAAAGGAAAGGTACAAAACATTTGTTCTTTGTCGTCAGTCCTCAAAATTGTAGACTCAAACTGACGACGTGCAGGTTTCATGTATTAGTCATGAATATTTGTTGAGTTTTTTGAAAAAGTAAGAGGTTACATTTTCGGAATATTTTAAACAGAATGTGTCTGGGTGACGGAAAAAAACAGAAGCTCCTCCTCTGTTTGAAAGTTGTGTTGAGCTTTACCTTATATGGAGGGGCTTTCCAAGATATTAGAAAGCCGTTGAGATATTCAACACAAATAGCTGTTTTTGCAAGTCTACTTAATTAGGGTTTTGTCTGACTTTATTCTGGCTTTAAGATGAGTAGATAGTAAATGCGAAATTAATACAACGCTGAAATATTTCAACACATTCAGATAATGCGGTTATGAAATTACTACAAAGGCAAATTAAGTTCATGACACAAAACCTGATTCAACATCAGATAAACACAAGCTTTCTTGAAAAGGTCATAGCTCTCAATTTAACATAAACATTAGATTTCAATAAACCTAAGCTGGATTCTACAATCAATGTTTAAATATACAATTTAAACTGTAGGGGGAATTATTAAATATTTAGTGACCATTGTGAAATATGTTTTTTCTTTTTTTTTTTTGGCTCGAAGACTCAACTATAGCAATATCTCCCATTATGATTAATTATTAAAAAAAAACACAAACATTATGTTGTATTGGAGGAAGCCCAATATTACATACAATGTGCAAACAGTTACTTTAGAAACTAAACATTATATATTGGCCGTTTATGTTGACGCAGTTATTGTTAGTGTATTTGTCGTGTCGTGAAGTTTTATGTTTTACACTGCCCTAATAATGATACATTTCTTTTCAAAATAACCAAAAATCATCCCATTATTAAAAGGGTCTGTTGGCATATGTATTAAGGATGTCGTTAATGGCTGTATGACGTGCGGTTGAAGACTGATTTGCATCTGGTTTCATCTATCTCTTCGGCACTCTTGACATCTTTGCGCTGTTTTGTCACTCAGATCTAGTTTTGACTGGTTTGAGCTAGTCCCCCGCGCGTGCGCACTTTGTGTAAACAGGAAGAACCGACTGAAAACAGAGCAAATACCGTAGACAGAAAAAAATGCTTGGACGAAAACGAACGAACAAGTTGATTTTCTTCACAGGTTGATCTGATCGCACCGCACACCTTGAGTGATTCTAATTTGCACCGACTAACCGTTAAAGCAGTAGCGTATTGTTGTTCATTTTTCTTTAACACGACATTGCTGTGCGCTAGCGAACGTCGTGACGCGTTTTGTTCCATGCTGGTTTTCTTCGTTATTTTTCCTTCCACACACTAATTAGAAAATACATCGTGGGCAATAAAATTTCGTGAATTTGCATCGACGTTTATTGCATATAATGGTTCAGAAAGAAAAGACGCTGGAGGCGCCTGCGGTAGATGGCGAGCCAAGCCCCAGCCCAGTCTCCGGAGAGGCTTGTGCAGAGGCCCCTGGCCCGGTGGAGGAATCCGGGATCGTTGTCGAATCAACAGGACAGAGAAAATTCATAAGCGGAGTCGTAGAAGGTAACACTAGCAAGTGACTAAATGACTGTAAGAGGGTCCACGTTGATCCATATTGGCTGTAAGAATTTATGACTATGGCATCAGATTGGTGCAATACCTCCCCCCGTCTTCCCCGAAAAGCCACCCTAGTATTTGTTAAAGTAAATACAGTAATAGCCTGCATTTCATAATTGCATTGCACACCATGTATTATAAAATACGTACATTCATTATCATTGTCATGGTAGTCTTTAGTGCTGTTGAATCGTATTATATGATATAAGGCGATGGCCCACAAATAAACATAGAGAATCAACTCAATTTCAATCAGTGTTATTGAAAAACAACTACTTCGGTTTTTGGCTCCAAAAGTGTGAACATTAAAACCGTCGTCGTTTTCTCCTGTACCTTCGACAGAATAATTGATGTTTTTTTGAAGGAGGGGTTTGGGACATTGTTGTTGGCAATATAGTCTTATGAAAACAAATAGAGGCAATGCTTTTATCAGTAAAGTCTAGGAATAAGACAAATAAACAAACTAGAAACCCTGTTGACCAGAAATTTCTGGCGAACTATCCCTTCGTTGTAAACTGCTCATTTGCTCACTGTGCACTAAAATGTCTTCGGGCTGTTGGAAACTGAATGCATTGTTGCCACTGCAGGTTTTTACGGTCGACCGTGGACAATGGAACAGAGGAAAGAATTGTTCAGGAGGTATGTGTGAATCAATGTGATGATGTGAAATATGATTGATGTCAATGAAATTGGTTGTTGAATCTGTTTTTGTGAAACTCTGTTATACAGGCAGCAGAAATGGGGATTGAACACTTACCTTTATGCTCCAAAAGATGACTACAAACACAGAATGTTCTGGAGAGAGTTGTACTCGGTGGAAGAAGCAGGTGAAGATTCAGATGTTTTTTTGCCCCAGCTGTTCTGTTGGAGAGAGACAGATTTGAGGAAGTTAAACTTGCATTTTCTCTGAATTTAAATGTTTTAACTGTGGTCTCTCCTTCTGTCTTTTAGAGCAACTTATGACATTAATTGGTGCAGCAAAGGATTATGGGATAGAGTTTATTTATGCGATTTCCCCTGGACTGGACATCACCTTCTCTAATCAGAAAGAGGTTTCTGCACTTAAGAGAAAACTGGATCAGGTGATTAAACTTGGTTATGTACAACATTGTATCACAACCATAAATGTTTACTTTCCTTCGTCTGTAACTTTGCGATCATCCCTTTTAGGTTTCTCACTTCGGCTGCAAGTCATTTGCCTTACTTTTTGATGATATTGACCACAATATGTGCCCTGCTGACAAGGAGGTTTTCAGCTCATTTGCACACGCTCAGGTTTCCATTACCAATGAAATCTACCAGTACCTGAGTGAACCTGAAACCTTCCTTTTTTGCCCCACAGGTACATTGGTGCAGGTTTTCTTACGACATAAGAAATATTTACTTTTGTGTTTTGATGATTTACATATGTATTTATTTATTAACTACAGAGTACTGTGGAACCTTCTGCTTCCCAAATGTCTCACAATCCCCCTACCTCCACACAGTAGGAGAAAAACTCCTACCAGGGATTGATGTGCTGTGGACCGGTGAGTTGCACTGACGATTTCAATTTGTTCGATACTACAGTGTTTGCTCTGCATACGTACACTTACTAGGAACACAAATAACTTTAGTTGAAGTAGAGGGTTATCAATAAACATCACCGGAGGCTATACTGTTAGAGAAGAACATACACTTTAACTCTGCTTTTGTCCTGTGTCAAGGTCCCAAAGTTGTATCAAAAGATATAACTGTGGAATCAATAGAGGAGGTGTCTAAAATCCTCAAAAGGGCTCCTGTGATCTGGGACAACATCCACGCCAATGATTATGACCAGAAGAGGCTTTTCTTGGGCCCATACAAGGGTCGCTCCACAGAGCTTATCCCAAGACTGAAGGGGGTACTGACGAATCCAAACTGTGAGTTTGAGTCCAACTTTGTGGCGATTCACACTCTGGCTACATGGTACAAGTCAAATATGAATGGCGTGCGCAAGGATGTGGTCATGAGTAAGTATGATGACAACATTTTATCAATACATTTTGACATTATATTTCTGGTTGGTTATGCACTATATTGCTTATTAATGTTTTGTTCGGGTTTTTCAGCGGATGGCGAGGACAGCACAGTTTCCATTCAGATCAAGTTGGAGAATGAGGGCAGTGATGAAGAACTGGAGACAGACATGCTTTATAGCCCACAGCTTGCTCTGAAGCTGGCTCTCACAGAATGGCTGGGGGATTTTTGTGTGCCTCATCAATACAACAGTACGGTGGTGTTTTTCCTAACACTGTACCATGAATCATCCACATCATATTGACACTAATGGTCTAAAAATTGTAGATTGTCTGTACTGTTTCTAAAAAAAATCCAATGCAGTGAAGTGGAGTCTTTTTTACTTTCAGGCCGACAAGTGCCTCAGAGCGGAGCCAAAAGCACAGCCATAAATGTGCCGTCCATGGCTGCCCCTTCTCTGTGCTCCTCCACAACAGTCACCACTGTGTTCCAGCAGCCCATCATGTCACCAGCCATACCACCACTCTGTCTGGATCCACTCTCGCATCCTTTGGCCAAAAGACCTCAGGAAGTCGAGGAGGTAAATTTTATTTACCACCACGGCTTTGACCATTTGAGCACAGAAGTTATTTTTGTCAACCATAAGCTTTTTGTTATAAATATGACAGTACATCAGTAATGTCTTAACTGCACCACCTGTACAGGTTGAAGTGGAGAAGAAGGATTCAGACGAGGAGCCAATGGAGATGGTGGTTGAGAAGCAAGATGAAACGGAAGCAGAGGTTGAAGCCGAGCCAGAGGAGAAATACGTTGAACCTCTATCAACTGACAAGATGACAGAAGACCTGAAACCCATGGACACAGATAAGGAGAGTCTGGCAGAGTCAAAGTCCCTTGAAGAGTCTCTACAGGAAGACTCAGGGAGTGATATCGCTCCTATGCAGACAGATGATCAGCCCAAACAGGTGGGCAAAAACATCCGAGTTTCTTTTCCTAATGTCTAAGGATGAAAAGAAGACAGAAGTTCCAATATAACCAGTATCTGCTTGTGTCTTCAGGATGTGTTTGTTCCTGGTCCCAATGAGAAGCCGTTATATACTGCAGAGATGCTTACTCTGGACGACCTCAGTCTGCTGGCAGAGCTATTTTACTTGCCTTATGAACATGGACCCAAGGCCATACAGATGTTGAAGGAGTTCAACTGGTTACGAGCCAATAGCAGCGTTGTCAGTGTTAACTGCAAGACAAAGGAAAGTGAAAAGGTAAGTTTGTATGTCAGCCATGCTAATAGTCAGAAGACTGGATACAGAGAAGTAGTTTCTGTGAACACCTGATCTGTATTATCTAAATTGGCTCATGCCTCCTAACTGAAAACAAAATGGTGGATGTGTACTACCCATACTGACCATTGGGTGGCATGATTAGATTAACAGATGTGTGGTTCTTAAATCGGCTTTAGTCACCACAGCAGGGGAAAAGCATTTTCATATCAACATAATTGTTACAATTACGTTTGACAAAATATTGAGGTTGGTCTTGTTATCTTTTTGCAGGTAGCGGAATGGCAATTGAGGGCAGAGAAGTTTGAAGAGATGTGCTGCTCCGTCATTCAGATGTTTACACGGCTGTCTAACACAGCCAACCGCACCATCCTGTACGACCTTTACCCTTATATCTGGGACATCAAGAGCATAATTTCTATGGTCAAGTCTTTTGTCCAGTGGCTAGGTATGTACGAGAAGAGTCCTGTGTTGTTGACTCTTGGACCACTGTAGCAGTAATATGATCTGGTTAGCCCTGACTCAGATGACAGTAGAAATACATTTACACATAGTATGGAGAACACAGATAAAATCAACAAGCTTCTATTATGTGATTACTGGTGCATGGATAATGTCAACATAGGTTAGCAGTGCAAATTTGATGTACAACCCATTGCACATTCTGCTAAAGAGATCATAGTCATACAGATTAGAGAAAATTGCTTCTCAAGATCCTGTCTAACAGAGTGAGAATCACAGTAATGGCTTATATCTTCGCACACACCAAATACATTATTATACAATTAGGATTCTAGAAATTATATGTTTCACACTATTGATGTGTTTTTTGTTTTTATTTTTTCTGACTGAATGCTGCTTGCACTGCTGATGTTTTCTTTATTTATTCCATAGTAACAATTCTCTCTTAGTGTTGTTTGACCTCAGCTCTATGATAAATGACCAGCAGGGTTACTGCTGCTTGCTGTGTATCCAATAACAACACTGCTGCGTTTCCCACAGACACCCTTGGTTCCATCTTTCTGTCTGTGGTGATGGGCGCCAGAACGGCGTCCACAGCGCTTTCTCCTTGCCCTAGCGCGCACGCGAGCTTGGAGAGCAAGTTGACTGACTGACTGACTGTGTTAGGCCATTCTGGTGCATACACTGACACAAAAGGGTCTGGAATTGTAAATGTTTAAACATAAACCATACAGATGTGTGTGTTTGCCTCTGTGAGTAGACTCTGACTCGAGGCTGTTGGTCAGATTTGACACTCCTAAGCCAATCCTGTATCAGGGTGACATCAGGCATTCTCAAGTCTTTTCACTTTCCAGTCAGTACATTTATATGAACAAGTAAGTCAATTATAATTCAACTAGTTTGATTTCTCCAAGTTTACAGGCTTAAAATTGAATTACTGACCCATATGAGTCTTCCCATTAGAACAATATATGGTGATGTGCCTCTGTACATGGTTCATTTGCCACTTAATTTGGCTCCTGGACACACAGAATTGTATTTATCCGTTTTTAAAGCTGTCTCCAAAACACATTTAACCGTGAGACAGCATTCCTATTCCCACAATCCCAGGATGATTTGGAAAAAGCATCTAAAAACTAGCTATTTCCAGTTAAAGCTATTTCCAGTTAACCTGTTAGTAGATCAGCATGACTGATTAAATCATTTATAGCCTTAGAAATCTATATCCATACATACCTGCTGTTGTTTTACATGTAAGATATACAGTACATTAACCTTGTAGTGATGAGTTCTATCACAGAGCTTGAACATAGTGAGAGTCCAGTAAACAAGGATGTATCTTCACTGGTTTGACTCTTAAATGCCTAGACAACTGTGGTCAGAGTTAAACAATAATTGAGTTTCTCTTCGTTCATGTAAACGTACTGACTGTTCTACCTGTGTTTCAATGCTGCATTCTGATGCAGTTTGAGTGTCATTCTGCTACATGAACAAACATTTTCCCCAAGGTTTCTTGGAAATTCCTCGTTTGATAGTGTAAAGCACCAGCATGGCCTGTAGGTTACGCTCTGTAACCAAGTTTCATTCACAGGTTTCTGTTCTATCTGGAAATATATAAAAGCTGAGGACTGTTCCCCACACTACACAGCAGGCAGCATACCTCCGCTGGCAGTAGAAATGAACACCCTCAAACCAGTTGATGGTCAACATTCAAAATATAGTATATCATTATATAGACATCAACACATTAAGTGTAACTGATGATCTTTATGTCCAAATAGGTGTTTACACCAGATTTTTCCCTCAAAAGATGCTGTGCAGTCGGCACTTAGTCAAAACTTCCCTGAGTATTGTCCTGAGAACACTTACTAATAACTATTTTCTACTGTTTTCTCCCTTCACTATATACAGATGGAAGAATCCACAGTACAAGTTTCTACTGCTATTGGATCGACAGTGGCCGATGTATGCACATGCACAGGCGTTGTCTCTATCTTTTGTTTATGATTAACGATAAAAAAATTGTGCATTTGTCTCAAATTTTATGGTTAATTGTGAAAGAGTAATTTGAAGGAAAAGCGGCTGCTCTCCAGATGAAGTCACATTTTGGGCAGCATTTTAGCTCCAAAAAGTGTTAACTGCGCATTTCTCCTTTTGGCAGCTTCTCTAACTTTTTTTTCTGTCAGTAGGCCCATAGAAAAGGCTCACACCAGTCTGATGCACCTACTCAAAGGAATTCATACTTGGCTTTGAAATATAACCACATCACACTAACCTTGTCATGAACCTTTGTGACTGTGTTGTTCTGTGATCCATGATGTTTGGACGCGAGTGTTGGAGGCTAATATTCCGCAGCACTGATTGATTGTGGGTTGGGGGAGATCATTCAGGTGGAATTTAATCACCGAGATGGACTTAATTCTATCCCTGCTGTGGTATTTGAATAAGCAAATTCAGAGTTCCTTCATGTGGGTGCATCTGCACATTGAGTGGTGTCAGATTGTCAAAGGAGAATTGCTTTAGGGTGAGGTTTATACGTTTAAGCTAGGGTAATGAGTTGTGCCCGCGTGCTGCATTTGTCTCGTCACGTAACGGGACTCCAGGTCAACCAGGATTAGACTTTAGCTACAGCATCAGAAATGTTTTGAACTCTGCGAGCCTTTTTTGCTTTTAAATTTGCTTCTCTATATGCAGCCACCTCTTTCATCCACCCGTGGCTTTTTAACAGAAGCAGCTCTTTAACAGCGGGATAGGTCACACCACCTGCCACCTTTGTTCTGTCTTCCTGGTTTGATGATTCTGTGTGACGAGGCAGATAAGATGAGAATGTGACTTCTCTTGGTCGTGCAGATCAGTGGGGTGAAGGCAGCATAAGCTTACTTTTATAGGTTACAGATCATCTGTCCTTATTCCACCCTATACCGAAAATCCGAACTGCATTAAGTTCTTTTTTCACGTTATGAGAACAGGTATCCTGTACTCCTCACAGCCTTACATGGCACTGACAGAGAAACTGTTAATAACCTGGACCTGATTCAATCCTGCAGACATGTAAGCTTTAGTTGCTCGGAACCCCTTTTCTAACATTAGTATGCCCTATAAATATGTTAAATCTTTTCTAAAATGAGGGCCTTTTATTATTAGTTGTGATTTTAAAAAAAAAGATTCATATAAAAAAATAACATTAGCTACATATGACCTTCCCCCTTCCTTCCCGTCTTCCCACTCCCTTCATCTGTGTCAGAGAGCCCCATCTTGTGGTAACACTTGTCCGCTTGGCTGTGCTCCTAACAGGGTGTCGTAGTCAGTCTTCAGCACAATTCCTTAAAGGAGACCAAGAGCCCTGGGCCTTTAGGGGAGGTCTAGCAGGAGAGTTCCAGGTATCTAATGCACTGAATTTACAGCAGTCAAATGGAAACAAAGAGTGTTTTAAGCAAAAAAGACATGGGTAATATAAGGCAAAACAGGGTTTGGTCTGTCAAAGGTGAGCTTGTCAGAATGGGCCAGGCCTCCAAACATCCTGGTTCCAGTCCCTTCTGTTGTCGTCCAAGTAGTTTGTTGTCCCCACATTGTACTGGGCTACTCTCACTCTTAGTGTGAGCGGAATAAGTGACCTACAACCCTACAATCCTGACTGAAGAGTTACAGCCCTTGTTTGGCATAGAAATTTTCAACTAATAAATTTGTGTTTTTTCCAGCAACTGACCAAGGAGATGCGGCTTTCCCCTTGCGCAAGCGAGCATGGCTAGGTTTTATTTTCATGACATCCCATTTCTTTGCAGGAAAGCACAGCGCAAAATATGCCAAGCAAAGCCTTTGCAAGCGCATGCACAAGCATCGCAGCGCCAGCGAGTACGCAAGCATGTGTGCACTGGGAAAACTCCATGATCAAATACAGCTGCCCATCCTCAAAGTACCTTCTACCTGGAGAGTAGTAAGACTCACAGTGGCAACTTAGATGCTGTTGCTTGATTCCGCTAGGTCCCATTTGATTGGCATCTTTGTTTTTTTTTCCTGGAGTTCTCTCTGTCTCTCTGCGCGAGCTTCATTTTTTTTCTCAACAGGAGGGTCCTGCGCAGCGAAACAATGCGATGCCTCACAAAAGGGGAAAGTAGCATCTCCTTCAGTCAGTAAAGCCTTAGTCAGACCAAAAGCAGCCTTGAAAAGCAAATGCCCTTTGTGCTGTGTTCCTTTTTGTTGTGTTCCTTATACAAGTCTGACAAAGAAGTGATGTTTGCTTTCAGTTGTCTGCGGTCAGATCAACAGGAACAACAGTTTCTGAGAAGAGTTTTATTTTAACCAGTCGCACAGAGGTGCCACTGAAAACTCTTGTTCCTTTTTGGTCTGGCAGTGGCTCAGCTGTAGCAAATACACAGTGAGACAGTCAGCGAAAAACCATTGCCTGGACTCAGTGAAACTGAACCCTTTCTTTTGTTACCCACAGAGGTTGTTGCCAATAGACGGAGCAAACGATCTGTTCTACCAACCTCCACCTTCATTGCCCACTTCCAAAATCTACACTATAAGGCCGTACTTTCCCAAAGATGAGGTAAGATACTGGTGGATCTTTTCATTTTGTAAATACAATATTTAGAGCAAAGATGGGCGTGTAAAGCTCAGGGTTTTTAAGTCAAATGTTCTTGTTGGCTCCTGGACTCCTTGTTGCATCCCATCATCTCCATGTCTCCTTCATGCATCCACTAACAGCTGTATACTTGTGTCCGCAGACTGCTGTTTATAGGATCTGTAAGGAAATGTACTGTGAGGGAATGGAGGATGAAACTTTTCCCGATGATGATCCCGACCTCATAGGAGACAGGTACGACATTCTTTTCACAAACAGCCAAGATTCTCCGCTGCACTCTTTCTGTCCCAGCATTTTACTTTAACATGCGGAACAATGTCCTGACTTTGTCCCCCCAGGTTAGTTGGCGGTCTCCTGACACTAAGTTCAGACTATGGGTTTGTGCTGGAGGACGATGAAGGGATCTGCGGATATGCTCTTGGTACTGTGGACGTCCAGCCCTTCATCAAGAAATGCCAGTTGAGCTGGATTCCCTTCATGCAGGAGAAATACCACAAGCCTGACTGTGAGAAGGACCTGACAGAGGCAGAGGTTTGATTCCCCAGTCTGTTTTTGTCGCCAAAGTATCATGTGTTGTTTTTGGCATCTCCTTATAGTGGGGTTCACTTTTTGTAGAAAATGATGCTGAGTTTCCATGAAGAGGAGGAAGGCCTCCCGGACTCCTTTCTCTCCAACTTCCCTTCTCTCATCAAAGTGGACGTACATGCTAAAGTGACTGATCCCAGCGTGGCCAAAAGCATGATGGGATGTCTTTTGTCCTCTCTTAAAGCTAATGGTAGGTGGATGCCTTTTTTTTCAAGTTGCTTTTATTAAATAAGTATTTTTTTATTAAATAAATAATTTTATTAAATAAGAAAATTTAAGAAATATGTCACATAAATATATTCACTGACATATTGTTTTTTTATGGTACCCGCAGGTTCTCTTGGTGCATTCTGTAAAGTTCGCCAGACTGATAAGCGAATGTTGGACTTCTACGGTAAACTAGGATGCTTTGAAGTGGCCAAAATGGAGGGCTTTCCTAAAGATATCATTATAATGGGACGCAGCCTTTGAAGAAACATCCAGAGAGCCTAAGCCTGTGTGTTGTCTTTGTGAGAAAAAAACCTTCACAATGATTTATATAATACATAATCTAGGTTGGGCTCTGCAAACGTTTTTTTCTAGGTTTTGTGTACAAAAACACATCAACCACACAACAATCCCCTGAGCAGCTCACAGATTCTAAGGTTCTGATAAAATCATCAGATCGATAAGTACAAACCTGAGGTGGCCTGATCTGTAGTGTGTTGATTTGAAGGTGGAAAAAAAAGCTCTAACTCAACTTTCTTTTTATGCTCTATTGCAGTAGTCATTACATGGATACTTTCTAAGAGCTGGGGGTCAGTGTTTAGAACTAAGGCAGAGATGTGAAGTAAAGATGGATTTAGGTTAAAATCACTACTCTGCCCTTCTTTGTTTTTTGGCTTTGACATAGAACAGCACAGCCGTCCACAACAAGTAGGACACAACTCCAGAGATAAATGGTGCTCTATTAAAGTCTGACTTCTCCTGGAGGCTGCGGGAAATGTAAAAAGATGTTTACAGACCAGTTTCTCAGCTTAGCTTACCTTTTGTTAGGGGTTTGCTTTTGTTCATTCTCTCATAGCATAAGCTTTCTTTAGCCGCTTTATGCATTTGCCCTTCTTGTTTTTTAATACTAGGTTCATACTGCACACCTACAGTGTCTTCCTTGTACATGAGACAGAGGTACGCTATCCAGTCGCTCTAGTTATGCCCTCCTCATGGATGACCTATAGTTAATCAGAGCTGTTGACTGGGATTTAACCGTTAGAAGTTCAGACTGAGCTGTGATCTAGGTTATTGATGTGACCTGGGTGGCGCCATTGGTGTTTTTTACTTTTGTATTTCACAAGTTTGTGTTAACAGGTAATATTTATACAGGTTTTTTTAAGAACAAAACAGTCAGTGGGACCAAACACTTAAAATGGGATAAATCTAGCACATTGTTTTGGAAGTTAAGTCATTTAATCAAACCTGCATGAAAATGCAGGATGCTCCCACTGACCTAAATATTTGGTTTCATTTTGGTTGCTTTTGCGCTAAACCTTCACACTAATCTCTCTTGTTTCTCTTTGTGTTTCACATTTGGTAAGCTGTGCCATAAACGCCACAATAGGAATCACTGAGACTCTTTAACCTGTATTACCACACTGTTATGAAACTGAAGTCATGGGAGTTGGAAGCCGAAGTTCCCAGGCCTTTTATTATGAGTCTATTGAATGTTTCATTCTTTTTTTTGTAATTCTGTGTAGTTAATTTAAAGAGAAAGCACTTTGATATAGGCAGGAGTGTTGGCTCCTTGCAAATCAACAGCTGTCTGCTTAATGTGACGTTTTCATGCTGTGTACACTCATAATTTGCATGAGGTGAACTGAGTTTGCTGTGGCAATCATGAGGAAACCCAATTTCTGTGCAAATTTAGAGGAAGACGCATGCTACTCAATTTTACATGATACCATAGTACAGACTCTGCACCAAGGTTATTGATTATAAAGTGTTATTTTTGTACATGTTTTTTTTAGACTGTAGCTTAAGGAAAACAAGATGTTGGAAATGTTGCATCATTTCCTATACATCTATCCTACCTGGTTGTTGTTTTTTTCACTTGCTTTTCTAGGAAAAGCAGAAACTCATCGCCTGATCTGCCCATCCTCTACAGAAGCAGATCTTTTGATAGAAGAGGGCTGAGACTGAGAGCCAGGGCTCCATTTGTACATTATTATTATTCATTATGTGATGAGTTTACCAATGTAAAATTTGTATAAAAGAAACATAAGAATAAAACTAATAAACTGTAATGAGTTACACTGTTGCCCTGTGTTTTGGATACCTGTATGGATATACTAATAAACATTCATAAATATTGTCTACACTCTATCATGGTTTAATACTAATCCTCATCTTATTTCTTCAGTCCCCGAATTTGACCTGTCAAAAATGTCATCACTTTTTGAACACTAGGTGGCAGTAAATAAATGGAAATACATTTCAACGCGACTAAGTGAGCGCTTTTACATTCCCAGCAGCTATAACTCTGATCAATACTG